ATTGTATATTTATGGCAATAGCGTTATATATTTTATCGTTTTGATATGCTGTGTAAAATACAATTTTCTAATTATGTTTATTCTATTTTTAAAACCCACTTTATCATAACGAAATTCAATTATTTATAATTATTGTTGTCTTTAAATTTAAACTAAAACTTTATTGGTTTAACACATTTACGTTATAATATGACATGATATATCTACCTATGGAGATGTATTTATATAATCATCAACAAACAATAATATAGTGATGAAACCCAAAGGGGGAAGATGTTGAATGATTTTCAAAATGTTAATTTTAACGTGTTTAATTATTTTTAAGAAATCAACATTTTCTTAAATATAATATAATAATTTTGAGAATTTATTTTAATTTAATGAACACAGTATTGACTCAATTACAATGAATATATTTTATATAAATTCATATCATTATCAGTTCAATTAATAAATGTTTTATTCACTGATACATAACACAATATTTTCATTTTTAAAAAAAAATATTTAAGTAGTACTTTATTTTGTAATTTTTATGAAAATACATTAACTATATGACTAGGTATGAATATTTTAAATAAAAATACATCGCTACCTTACGATAATAATATTTTTCTATGAGTTTATTTTATAAGAAAATTAAAAAGGTTTTTCATATATATTTTGAATTTTATATCAGAAGCAGAATTTTTTTTCGAGTATTTTAATACACAAAAATCGAAATTTAACAAGAAGTTTATGAGCTATAACTACTCGTAGTTATAAATATTTTAAATTTAGGTAAGCGGATTAGCAAACCTAAATGAACCTATGAGATTTTGCGGGTTACATCGCCGTATCTCACCTAAACACAGCTCACCTAAACTATAAGTACTTATTACTCATAAAATACTCTAAATACTCCGATAAACGTTTTGCTTTAGAATATAAAATTATAAATGTTAATTGTTATTTAAAAATTAAAATAGTACAACCATCAAAAATATTAAAAAATATAGATTTTGAGTGTGTTTTGATAGAATAATCATCTTTGAATATAATTGTATGAATAAAATCAACGATTGTTTATTTATTATTTTGTTTATGTTATTAATTAAAACTACATTACACTTTAATATATATATATATAAATGTATTTTGTAATTATACAAAAATCTATTAACGCAGAAAAATACGGATACATGAAATTTGTATTTTTTTCGTGCAATTCAATTAAATTTAATACTGAAAATACTTTTAGGACTTAGAGTATAATATTTAATGCTCACTGCTCACTGGCAATAATTATTTTCATAATACTACACTAATTCGTATTATACCTTCAAGCTATCGACTGATAGAAATAACTTTACAATCAACACGCAACTTAATACTTATTCTTTTTAATTCGATTCGTGCATTGTTTGAAAGAGTAAAAGTTTTTTTTAATCGTAAATTTGAAAGATAAAACCAGGAAGCATGCAAATTGTGCCGTTGCTTGAGTTTTAGGTGTGAAGAGCGTCGGGCGAAAAAACAAAACAATAATAATAACGACTTGTTCATCGGGAAAATTGAAGGAAAACCATTCTATCAAGCGTAAAGTAATAAAAAAAAAAAAAACTAAACACAGTCGATGGAAAACCAATTTGGATGCAAAAAAGGCTCAAAGACTTTGAATACCAACATAAAACGACCAACTATCCTCGTGTTTGGAATATTTCTCAACGAATTTTTGTTTTTGTTTGTAATAATGTATTGTTATGATATCTAATTATTAAATACCGACGTTAAATGAACATCATAACTAATTAATTAACATAAATAATTGTATTTGTTATAGGTTTATGGTCTTCGTTTAGGGTTTATCAGCAGTACACTTAAATTTTTTTTTTATTTACTAAAACATTTTTTATCAATATAATTTTAAAAATTATTGAGTGTACTGTACACTGTTAAATAGAATATGATACGTATATCTTAAGATATTATGGAAATGCTGATTAGTTTGGTGTGAGATTTACAGCTAATTTCAGTTAGTCGTAGTAAGTGAAGGACGTTGACATATTTCATGTTATAGATGCATACCACATACAACATCGATTATTTGCTTTGACATAGTTACTCGAATTGTTTGTACTGTTATGTACAAAATATACTCAATAGTTTAGTAGGTCTTCTTAATATTTGAATCGTATATGTCTAGAAATGTTTAGACTTTTATGCATAAAAAAACATTTTGTTTGCCAAATATTTTTTTTTGATTTTAGACCAACACAAGAATAGAAGCCAAAAGTTAGGTTGGGTCTGTTTTAGTTTTGCCTAAAAATACCAAATATTTATCTTTTTCTAGTGTTGTGTAATATGTAATGCTTTTTAATTATTGACTTTTTACTTAAAAAAAATTAATACATTGTTTTATATTTGATATCCAGTCTAAATACATTTTTTTTAAATTTGTTAATTAATATACAAAAGATTGTATGACAATAACTCAAAATGGATATAATATGTGTTTTTATATTCGTATAATAATTTTACTACATCAGGATTTTTATATCAAAAATTATTTGTTAAGAATATACATAAGATATTTTCTGCATGATATTTTCCATATTATATATCTTATAATTAATGTTTATTTTATATCTAAAAGTATTTATCATGAATAACATATTCAAAGTATATCTATTTTATATTAGAAATAATATATCAAACATCTAATTTGTTAACAATATTTATGTGATATTTTGTAAATTATGTGTACAGGATATTTTCTCTTTAATATTTACATGATGTTTAAAACTATTTATCATAAATATCATATCTATAGTGTATCAATTTAATATAGGAAATATTATATCGAAAAACAGATTTGTGAACAATAATAATACTATTATTGTCATTTAGCTATAGACTATTTTGAAGTTTAACAAAATAGCTGATTTGTGAAAATATTCGAGCAGGTTATTCCTTAAGTTATTAAAATTTTACTGTTCATGAACCGAGTGATAATTTAATTTTTTTATGGTAGAAATTTTTCAGTAATTCATGAATTAAATATCTAGATGAATGATAGTGAATGTTTTAATCATGATTTTTTATATAGTCAGTAAATATAGCTACTAAGGTATTGTTTTCATCTGTAAGCATGTCCAAGGTTTATAAAATACATATGTATAGTAAAGCATAGAAGATAGGTCACTTCCTTTGGGAATTCTTATTTTAATTGGATGTGAGATGGATTTTTTACGGCGTACTGTGAAGAATTTATTTTCGAGGAATGATTTTATAATTAGGTAATAAGGTAAAGTAAGAAACATTCTAGTTAAAAAAAAAAAAAATAAAAATCTGTTGCACCAAACTCGATCAAAACTCTGAATTATGACAATTGAAAATACGGGCACAGAATGTATTGTTTTTTTGTTAAAATAAATGCATTTATTAAAAAAAAATCTTGATTTTAATCATTCTAGGTATATAATATACACAGATAGAACAGCTCTAGTTTGCTTTTGTAAATTATTAATTTAACCTTATGTATTAACTGTGCCTTTTATTAGTTTATACACTAATCAAGTTTATATTTGTGACATGTTGCGAATTGACTAAAATACAGAGTCACAGCATTTAATCTATAGATTAAATTACTTGAAACTATAATCTAACGTGCATAAAATTTATTATTTTAGATAACACTGCATGAGTGTTAAGTTTTTTTTACCTAATCTAATATTTACCATACTTGATAAATTTCAATTTGATTTTGTGTTTAAAAATAAACATGCACTATGCAAAATTATTGTAATATCATCATTATTATTATCACTGAATATTGTTTATTTCATTTTTAATTATGTTCATATTTTTTACATGGTTGTTATTTTTAATTAGTAGTATCCGTTTATTTTTGTTCGTTTAGTAATGTTTTAATTTTAAATTAACTAAAATTATCAGCGCGTTATCGATTTAACGGTTGTTGTATGTAGTAACTTTACAGGGTATTGTTACATTTTCACTCAATCTATTGATCACGTACGTTATAAATACAGTTTTTACTTACCTACGTTTTTTAAATTTACTGGTGTAGATGCTATTTTAAAAAGTATCGACGTTTTATGTTTGAATGTAGTCAATAAATCTGACTTGAAATTACCCTATTGTAAAAAAAAAAAAATCAATTCGTTTTTAATGAAATAATTTTAAATTGTATTCTTTATAAAGTAACATAAATTATAGATGTACGTATAATATACTACCACAAAAAGTATAGGATTCATAAATTTTTAAGTTAACAAACTAATATCTGTCATAAACACTTATTTTTTAGATAAAAATATTTCTTATATCTATGTTATGGAATAAATTACCTATTGAATATTAATAAAATATTTGTATTTAAAATTCTGTTTTCTAATGTTATAATTTAAACGTTATCATTGAAAAATATCTTAGAAATTCTTAGAATCTATCGATTTGTATTATAGTTAAATTAAATATTAATATCAATAAATATTATACGACTTGGTATAAAAATGAAAGGCGTCTTTAAATAATGCATTTTTTTCTTTCACAAATAAAAAAAAATATATAAATAATATTAATACTAGCATTTAAATATTAAATTTTCAGTTATTAAATCAGTGTATAAAAAATCTATAGCTAGATCTTTAAAATTACTGAAATAATATATAATATCTGGAATACTTTTTGTCTAAGAAATTTAACTATTTTATCTTTATTTCAAAAAGTTATGTTAAATAATACTCCATTAACAAGGTTAAATTGTCGAATTTACTGAATTTAGTAATATATTTTTCTTAATAGTACGACTCTATTAAAGAACTAAAAAGAACTCAATATTTGATCAATATAATTTAATATTAGAACTTATATTATAAACTGAAAATCGGTTATAAAATTTGATAATTTTATTTTTGAAAATTCAAAGAAATATGTTATCTTGTACTATAAAAATTTTAAAATATTGTATTAATTAATTATAAGTAATTATCATATTTTAGGAATGCCAAAGTTTGGTGAAGATCTGAATAATGTAACGGTGCCAGTTGGCCGAGAAGCTATATTTGTATGCAACGTCGAAGGATTAGCAACTTACAAGGTATACAATTCACTAAATAATTTAGTTTTAAATAAATCTAAAAATTATAAATTTATTAACCATTGAAGGCTTGTGTTATAAATCATAGAATAAAGATTAAATAGTGTGTTCGAATTAAAAAAAAAAAAAAACTGTGAGAAATTATATAATTGTACTAAAAAATGAGTAGTTTAAGCTCAAAAATATTATGTTTTTACCACCAATGAGGAATATAAATCCAGCTTTACGAATCAAATTTTAAAGCTGAAAATTTAACACACTAACATAAGTATCGATTAATGCGTTCTTGTAGAAGTTGAGTAATATTTGTAATACTAGTTCACTGTAACCATTAAAAATGTACAAATTTTGTTCCTTTTTAAATAATTATGAAAATTTCACTGTAGTATACTTGTATATTATAATATATAGCTTTTTTCAAACATTAATTATCAGATAGTAATAAAACATTTTCTATTTTCAAAATTGTAAACAATTATAACGATACAAAACAATTATTTTAATGTAGAAAACATTCATTTCATCTTAGGAAATAAAGTAAAATAATGACGTAAAAAAATGTCAAACTATTCCTTGAATTTTTTTTTATTTTAAAAATAACTTACAATATTTCAATTAAGTGTAACCACTTTTGTTAGTGGTACAAGTGCGGTACCTACCAACTAAAACCCTGAATAAAAAGTGGCCGTAATTTACTAGTCACGTACCCTATTTTGTGTTCACAATTTATATTTAAAACTTAGAGTTTATAAACTATATTATGTAGTTATGTGAGAGATATGACATTTTATGTCAGTATGAATGATGTTTAAATTAAAAAGCTACAGCGTGTTTTACTTTTGAAACAATATACGACAAATTAATACCTCATACATACTTCTACGAATACTGATGCTGGTGAAAACTTTTCTCGTAATTTAATTTTACTTTTAGGTTGCTTGGCTGAGAGTGGACACCCAAACTATATTGACTATTCATAGTCACGTAATTACAAAAAACCATCGGATCGCGGTAACACACAGCGATCATCGAATATGGTATCTTCATATCCGGGAAGTTAGGGAAGCTGATAGAGGATGGTATATGTGCCAAATTAACACCGACCCAATGAAAAGTCAACAGGGTTACTTGCAAGTGGTTGGTAAGTAGATAGAAATACGGAAAGACAATTCAACAGTAAAATCGTATTATATTTTTATAATAATAACTAGGGACAAAAAGTTTTGAAAGATTTTGTACAGTTGTGCTAATTGAAGCAAAAAGGACACTCGAAAGTTCACTCACAAACGTAATCAAAACTTGAATTAAAAGTTTTTTAGATCATTCAACCAAATTATTATTATAATAGTACCTTCCAACGTCTGAGGATTTATATTTCACATAAAAATCTAGAAATTTAACCATGTTATAGTCAAGTCAATAGTCGAATTGTTTAAAAGAAAAACTCATTAAAATAAAGTCAATATTTAAATTTAGTATCGAATACATAGCATAAAAATTTGCGTATTGCTTATTAACTACAAATTGCGATGTTTAATCAAAAAAAAAAAAAAAAACTATACAATATGCCAACATGCAATATAATTGATTAATTTAATTTCTCTTTAACAGTTAACTCAATTTCTTGATATTATAATAACTTATGATTACACTGTCTTAATTTATTATTGTTTACAAATTTTAATTTGACGATAAAATAATATTATTATATTTCTTTATATTTCCAACATGATTTTACCATAGATTTGTTTAATATAGATTTAATAATTATGTTTCTTTTTTATCGAATTTCAGTATCCTTAAAAAATGAGAGAAGTTGTTTAAAATATAGTATAAATTATAATAAAAATATTATTTGATAAACAGTTTTGCAAAATAAAAATACAAAATTGATTACAATAATTTATTTGTGATTCAGAATTTTTCTCAAACGTATTACAACTATGAAAATAAATCATCCTTAAGATAATATTCACTTATCAAAATTAATGTATTGAGGTAATATTTGGTGTTAATGATAAATATTTTGACAATTTGGTCAAAAATAAATAATTTAATTTAACTTACTCGTTTAATTTAAAATTCATTAAACAATCGTGCATGTATATTGTCAAAAAAAAAAAAAAAAAAATTGGTATTTTTTTTATATTTATAAAAAATTATATTTTTTATTTTAAATTGGTTTTATTAAATATTTATTTCTTTTTTCATATAGTCTTACAATTTTTAATTACTCAAAAAGACATTTTACTATGTTAATAATTGATATTTAATTTTATTAGGGGTATATTATATATTTACTTTCAACATTGTCTAATATTTCTTTTTCCATTCAAAAAATATAAATTAAAATATCTTTACGATAAGTATAACATTTCATTATTGGAATACAGTTGAACACTAGTTATGACTATTTATTAATATTAGTATTATTTATTATTAGGTACATTGAATATAGTATACCTTAATCGAAAATCATTAATTTAATAATTTAGTTTTTATTGAGTTTAAATAATATTAAAAATAAATCATTTGACAATATTATTTAATTTTAATAGTGTACTATATGAAAAGTAGTACAAAAGTAGCTGTTTTAGTTTCTAGTAAAAATAAAAACAAAATTTATAAATTTATGTATTATTTATACATATATATAATACAAATACAACGCATTTTATTATTTATTAAACATACATAGTTGTTACAATGTATTGCATTAAAAACGTATTTTATTCTTTAATAAAACATAGTAATAACATATATTTAAATAAAAGAGTTCAGTAAATGAAAACATTCAAAGAATCGAATATCTAAGAGGGAGAGCTGACAAATGTATAGTTAATATTATAAACTGTTTTATTTATTTATGAACGAAAACTATCAGAAGCTACTAGGACTTTACCAAGGGCAGTAGTTTGTTTAGGTATAGAAATATCATACTTTGAAGTAATTGTTAAGAGCGCTTTAGACTTGCTTATGATATTACGTCTCGTCTGTTAGTTCCTGAAAATTAGCTTATTCAATGGCAAAATATCGTGCGTTTATATCCAATCTAATGAATGCTTTTGACCATCTAATAATTTTGATCTGGAAGAAAATACCGTTTAGGTCGACAAAATACTGTTAAGAGGCCTTATTAGATTACAAGGAGATGCTAGCTTATGCTAAAATCAATTGTCTCTGTCTCTATTTTACACGCGTTAAAAGTAATAAGAAATGTTATCCTTACTTCAAAGACTAATATTATATAGTCAAAATGATTATGACACCATATTATTCTATTACAAACAATATTATCCAACCAAAGTCAGTTATTTTATTACCTACCCAGTAGAAGCATATGAATTGACACAATATGTCTTTAAACAGAAGTGGTTTGATGATTGAATCTAGATTTTTGTCTTGAGACCATTCGTGGTTTTCTTTTTTTTATACAACATTAAATTTAGTCATTTGAATCTTAATAATAATTTTAATTCATTATTACAATTTTTATCTAATTTTCTAAATTATATTTTACGACTTACAAAATAATATTTATTTATTTATATTTTGTAGTAATTTACTGACTCATGCACTAATATAATATAATGATGATAAAAGTGATTGCAGAGATTTAATAAATTAACATGATCATACAGCCGTCAATAATGTTTTTATTTTTGACTATGTATTTTGTTTGTTTCAAAATGATATATTAGTTAATGCTTCCATAATAAAATACAAAGAGACTATGAAAATCAAAACATAATCATTGAGACCCACCCATTTAAAGTTTCACACAAACTCTTGAACCACTATTTACCATTTAAAATTGTTTTAAGAGCATAATTCAACATAGATAAAATATTGAAAAAAATAATTCTTTTACTTGCCCAATATAATTTCTAATTTCATAGGCTGATGATGTTTTTGATGTTGATTAATTAAAAACATGATTGGACAAAAATAGTGAAGATCAGCAACTAAATGATTGCGCTTTTTTGACAACACCTTTCAAAGGAAAATAATCATAATAGAAAAACTATTTATTCAGATTCAATTTCAATTCAAAGGATTTAAATGTAAATTTTATATTTATGCTACCACTATTTTTATAAGAATATCATCATTTAGTTTTAGATCCAATGTAATATTGTCATCTTCACTATTTTTTCTACCACGCTAGAGTTATTTGAACTAAACCTATTAATAAAATATTGTTTATATTTGCTGTCTTATCAAAAATTATAGCATAGAAATTACATTATTAACTTAACTAATATTTTTTTCTATTTTATAGTTTGTATAGCATTCAATAATATCATTCTCAATTTTATAAAATTAAGTTGCTTTTAATGGTTTTTACTTAAAATATTTTTCAACATATTTACACAACACCCTATACACAAACAAATTTGTATACTACTCCCCTTCCCAACCACGATATAAAATATAGACTATATTCTTTTTTGTAATACAATCGAAACCACTTGAATTTAGTTTCAAAACTAATATATATGCATTTAAATTACATAAGTATTAATTGAAATCATTTAAAAAAGTGTCAATCCCAAAAAAGAATGAAAAAGTAAATTTCCAAACCTATTATTTCGTCAATAATACGATAGGTACTTATTTGTTGTGATGACTATATTTTAAGTTAACATCCACTATAGTTGACCAGTAAGATAATAGTTAATAAAATGAATAGTATTTTTAATACCGAGTATATTAAGCATCGTTAATTAATATTTTTATTTTTATTATTATATTTAATATAATTTGATAACTTTATGATTTTAGTGCACTCAATGTTATCAAATTTTGAATTTTTTTTTTTTTTTTTAGATGCTCGTTTTAAATAATCCTTTATTCTGTTTGAGACTAGACACATATTTAATGTTTTTTTGAAGATTCTTACACGAATGTAGTTTTATTTAAACAAATTATTAAAATAATGAATTCTAAAAGTTTATTCGTAATAAAAAGTAATATTTATTTAAATAATATATATAACCATATTAGGTAACATGTTTTTATTTTTAAATTAAGCATTTTGGACGTTACAACAATATCTTAAAAGTTAACAGTAATAAGTTAGTGGCGATTTTTAATTAATTAACAGCATTTCAAATTTTATAAAACAAAAATTGAATAGACTTGTAACATTTTTTTTAAATCGGTATAATATATACTATTTATAAGGTATTAATTTATTCTTGTCATATTCTCTATAACTTTTATTAATTTAAAATTGACTATATTTCTACATAAATAAATTATTATTAGCTATTCATAAGTAACTATGTATGGCGTATCTACATTATTTTATTATTATATTTTGAATACATGACGGTATTTAATATAATTATGGTTTCGAGATTTAATAATTGAATAACAAATTAAAATTAACATATTTTAGATAAGATAATTTTTTTTCAAACTGAACTTTTGGTTATTAAGCAAATGACGACCTTTGTATTTATATATTATTTTTTTTATGTTTTAATAATAAATAAAATAACTTACATAATTTTGTTTTATAATTTAAGTACATTTTTGGATTATTTAAATATAAAGTGATTCACCAAATACGTTCAAACATTTTATCTCCAATTTAACAATTATTCAAAATATTATTTCTGAAATTTTAAATAGATTTTATTTTTTTTTTAAATGATAAATATTGATAAATTATAAACGTTACTCGAATAAGTAAAAACAAGAACGTTTTTCCGCAGAATTCTTAGAAATCTTTGGGGACTTCTGGGAATATCGAAAAAAACCACAAGACTTAAAAAATATATTTTAATCATTATACGATTACATACCATTTGTATTTTAATAAATTACAATAAAATTATAATCGGAAAACAAATGAATTTGATTTTAATTTTAATTAATCAAAAATTAATGATATATAAAAATGTAAATAATGCTTATTTTGCACGTGTATTTTTCATTGGAATGTTAAAATGTAAAACTATTTATAATAATTTACTTAACTTATTAATTATAATCAAATAGTTTTAAATTAACTATGCTGGGTATGATTGTATGAAAACATACAATCAATAAACTATTTTTTATTTTGAATAATCAATTATTCAAAATATCTACTTAAGTTAAATAGGTGAATTATGTAAATTATGTAAGTTA